TTCCAAGTTTTAGCTATCACAAACTGTGCTGCTATGAACATGGGTGCACATATATCACTGTGGTATGATTCTTTTAATTCTTTGGGGAAGATCCCCAACCTGCTCTATTTTCTTGAGTAGACCTATCACCTTCTAACATAAGCAATTTACTCACTGTTTGTTGTCGATTAACTACCTCCTCTCAATATGCATGGGTTCCACAAGAACAAAGAGTTCTGCAGACTTTGATCCTTCATAGAATCTCAAGTGTCTAGATTATTGTCTGACACATAGTAGGAGCTCAGTAAACTTTTATTTTGTGAATGAATTGTTACTGTGGTATGTTATTCTCCCCATAAAATGATAACCTATATCTAAATCAATTTCTTTTACTCTGAGCCTTCAATAAATGTCTCTGATGGATTGACACTTTAGTGGCAGAATACACCAATTGTGCAATACTTCATGAATTCTTCTCATCTGGTTTCTAGTTCATGGAAATGTTTGTAGGAGAGTCAGCATCAATGAAGTACGTTCCATTTTTTCTTCTTATGGGAGTACAACATATGCACAGAAAATTACATCCATCACAAATGCAGAGCTTGTGGTAATTTTACAAAACCAAGTCACCCATGTAACCAATACTCAGAGAAGAAAATACAACATTCTTAGCCCCAGATGCTCCTCTTGCTTTCCTTTTTGACAAATAATTTCATTGATTAGTTTAACCACATTTTATTTAAAATTTATAATGTGATTCCCATGGTTTCATTATTGTTTGCATGAACTGATCTTATATAATTAGTCTGGGTTTTCACACTTCACTATAAAAACAAAAACAAAAACCAGCCAGGCATGGTGGTGCATGCCTATAATCCCAGCACTCAGGAGGCTAAGGCAGGATTGCCGTGAGCTCAAGGCCAGCCTGGGTTACATGGTGAGTTTAAGGCCAGCCTGAATTACACAGTGAGACCCTGCCTCAAAAAAGAAAGAAACAAACAACAACAACAACAAACAGAAGGAATTTATAATAAATTCTCACTTCAAAATAGACTTCCTGGCAAAAAAATCTCCACTGAATATAGATATCAGCCATATCTACTTTTACCTCAAGTATATTTAGGAAGTACTGTGATATATACTATTTGTCAGAAATATATGCCCAGTGCTAAGATATTCCTTTATTGGCTTGCTATATTCATGCTTTTATATTTATCAGGATTTTTCTTATGCAAAGTAAGAGGAAGCTTGCTGGAGAATCATTTTATTTTAACTTGAGGGTAAAGAACTGCACATATGTGAGTGAGCTGTTCTTCTCTATCCCCTCACCTCCCAGGTCTATTTTCAGCACTTTTCTGCATCAGCAGATGACTCAGACTTCTTACTGCTTCCCGGCTTTCCCTCACATCATGCTTCTGATGTCATGGGGAATTTCCTATGACCACTTACTGAGAAAGACGGGGACAATTCCTGGTTCCAGGATGTATCTGTACAGGGCAGTCCTGCAAGTCAGAGTGAAGTCTCCCAAGAGACAGGCCCTCAGGCAGTACATCTGGTGGGCCACTTAGCTTGAAATCAGAGATAACCCAAGGTTTCGTGAAATTCCTAGACAGTGGATAATGGGTTGGTCAACTTATCCAAGACTGGAAAGACTGGTGCCAAGAATGGAAGTTATACGGTGGACCTCAGAAAGTCTACACTCTCTGAGGCTATCTGAAGAGTCCCATGCAAACGTTCCCCCAGGACATCTACTCTACAGAAGCCTGTGTAAGGAGTGGCCCAGGTTACCTGGGTGGTCAGTGAGCCTCCTTCCCAGCTGCCAGGGCCTGAATATTTCTAATCCCCTCAAAATTCATGTCTTGAAACCCAATCAATATGATAGCACCAGGAGGTGGTGCTGTCGGGAAGTAGCAGGGCCCTCATGAATAGGACTCCTGCCTTATGAAAGAGGCCCCAGAGAGTTTGTCCCTTCCCCTATGTGGGAATGCAGAAAGTGCCATCTACAACCAGCAAGTGGACCCACAACAGATGCAAAATCTGGAGGCATCTCCATCTTAGACCCCCTAGCTTCTAAAATGGTGAGAAATAAATTTCTGTTGTTTGTAAGCGACCTAGCGTGTAGTATTTCATTACAGCAGTGCGAATAGAGTTAAGATGAGAAATGTCTATGCTTGGAGTAAAGTCCACGAACAGAGAGAGGTCAGGGGAAGCAGAATAGAGGCAACATATGACAGCAAGAATGTGGATTTCCTCTCACCACTGCTGATGTAGCGACTGCACTGCTGAGCATCTGAATCTCTAAAAGTAGAAGCCCACACTGAGCTCTTATTTGTCACCATTTCCTAGGGGCATGAGCCATGCAGGCTGATTATATCAGACTGCTTCATTATGGAATGGGCAGTGATTTGTCTTCACGGGAATAATTGCATATTCTGGAGAAAAACTTCCCTTTCCTGTCTATGCTTCTGCCAGCACTTCCATATGTGATAGCATTATTGATCAAAGGGCAGAGAAATGGGTGTCTGTATAGACCGCTGTGATTGATGTTCATTCGCAGGTAGACAGTAGAATTATTGCTACAAAATGAGACCAGCCCTGCACCTGGAGCCCATCGGATTCATGGCACTCCCGTGGCCAACAGTAATACTTACTGGGAAACAGCAGCGACTCACGGAAGGCAGGGACACTCAGGACCTGAAGCCTGTGTGAGCGAAGGCTTGGCTCACCCCACTGAGGAGGAACACCTAGCTTCACATCCAAGGAGCCAGCTAGCGCCTGGAATCATGGAATGATTGGGGGGAGAAGGATGTTAGGATCAGATCAGATCTGCTGCACCGTGGCCCTTATTTTATTCTAATTGTTCCTTTCTCTGGGTCTTGCACCCCAGTCATGACTAATGGTGCAGTTTAGGTTCCAGGACAGAATATGACTGGACTCTCTTACCCCTGGGTTATATGGTAGCTGTGCTCTCCCAGGGTCGGGGTCCTGAGCTCCTTCAGCCAACAGAGGGGCTTGAATGAAGGAAGCCAAGTGACAACAAGGTGGCCCAATGCTTATTCTTAGATCTCTTATCTGTCCTTTCCTCTGTCATGTGCTGTGGCCTGGGAGGCTATTAAACCCTGTCCCTATCAAATTGCTGTTATATTTGCTTTTTCTGGACCTTTACAAGAGGCCAGAGGGCAGGAGGCTAGCAAGGTAGGGATTTTGATGATTTCCTCCTTACTTTTCCATGCCTCACCACAGTTCGGGCAGAGGCTCCAGATGCCAGCATGGTGGCCTCTCTAGGCTGGGGACAGCATGTCCTCCCCTGTCCCTGCAGACCTCCAGCAGTAAAGACTAATCCCTCAGTATATCCTCAGCCCTTGTTGGTTCCATTAACCCTGCCTACACCTCTGTAAATAATCCCCATGTGAAATTCATTTCAGCTAAGCCCTTTTGAGGGTGCCATCTGTTTCCTGCTAAGACTTCAATGGACACATCAGGGAAAATAGCTGAGAGAGGAGACAGACAGAGGTCAGCTATTGTGAAGTGGGGGAAATTCTGAGCCAATAAAGGCTGGCACAGTACAATAGGCCTGAGTGAGATGCATTTTCACAGGCTGAAATTGGCCAAGAAAGAATGATTGCCACTGGTCGGAGCTCATAGTTATTTTGTTTTATGTTTTAAAAATTGTTGTAGGCCTGAAAAAGCCCATGAAGCTGGGCTGTACCAAATTTGAGGGTTTTCCCAGGACATCGGACTTGCAGTGCTATGACGAGGACAGTCCTGGGAAAACTGGCATAGGTGGTCCTAAACCTGTGGCTATATTCAGGACCTCCACGTCCCACCCAGCTAGTGCTGCAGAAGGGACATTCCCGGTAAAAGAACACTGGTCTAGAACCATGTCCCTGCTCAGCTATCATTCACCTCAGATGGCCTCCTCTCTCTACTCGATCTATTCACAGTCTGAGAATCTCGCCTAAACAGCCAGCATCAATTGGTCAGAGTTGAATCGCCAGACAAAAAAAACTGTCACCCTGAATTAGAGCTTCGAGCCCAAACTCAAAAGCTGGGCTGGACAGAGTGAAGCCTCCAGAAGTCCTTCTGGTCTTACAGCCTCAGGCCTTGCTGAAGGAGGAGGGTGGCTGGTTGGGCTCCCTTGCGTTTGGCCAAGAACTGATCTTGTTCCTCTGTCTCTCTCTCCCGAAGCAGCTCCAATGGTGGATGGTGTTTAGGTAGAACAGCAGCACACATCTCTGCAACATGAACAATCTTTCAGGTATTGTTCTAAGTGCTTTGCATTTTCTTATTATGTATATTTTAGGGCCAAGCAATCAAGGAGTTAAGTGACTTACGTGACGTTTCCTGGGCCTCACAGATAGTATAAAGCAGATCCAGGACTCCAGTGGGCTCAGCCACGCTCTTCCTGCACCGCGGTGCCTCCTGCCTTGTTCACCTGGGTGTCCTTGGACCCCGATCTGAGTCTGGCAGGTAGTGAGTGCTCAGTCTCTGAATATGCGCTGAAGATTGTTGAAGGAACACAAGTCCTACCAGCAAGCATCCCCTGGTCTCTTCTCCATGGGCCTTGCCCTGGTTTTCTTAGGTTGGCTAAACCAGCAGAATGGGAGCAAAAAGGAGCAGAGAGTGGCTCTGTGTAAGTGGGTTTAAATCCAGGCTCCGTCCGTCTCTTTAAAACATAATTATGATGGTACTTTAGACTAAAGGGCTGTGCTGGATGGGAGTCAAGAACTTAGCACATGCTAAACCCTAAGTATTAGCTTTATTATTAAAAATCAATCCAAGTGCCATGAATCTAAGTGCAGAGGGGTGAGCTCCCATTCCAGAGGCAATCCCTTTTCTTCTGGCCCTGTCCCCTAGCCAAGAGCTGTCTTGAGTGTTTCCCTCCGCAGCATCCCTTTTTCTCCTACTTGGGTCGTGGGTAGAAGGCGAGCGCGATCCTTGCATGCCCTCTAGAGGCCAGAACTGCTCCTAGCCGTCAAACCTCCCCTGGCGTCGCTCCAGCCTCAGGATCAGTTTCTGTTAGTTCCCCAAACGTCTGTCCCTCCTTCTCTGCGAGTATTTTCTGTTTGTTCCTCTGGGTCTAATTCCCACTTCTTTCTCACTCTGTTCTTGGATCTAGGATACTGATCTGTGGCGATTGTCCCGGTGGACTCCCTTTCCCTTTTTTAGTTAAACGATTGAAAGCCACCAGTATTGACAAAGGGGAGAGACGTTGGGATATTGTTTCCCAGACCCCTGCAAGCCAGGCTCCCGAGAGCAGGCAGCGTCCCTGCACCGGAGGTCCCAGATCCTCCTTGCTGACCCCCGGCAAAGTCCCGGGTAGCTCGGTGTTGGTTCCCGCGTTCTCCTCCGGATCGGGAAGGCAATGGTTTGTAAACAGCTGCTTGCTTCACCTCGCTTACCCTCTCCGAATTACCCTGCCTGAGAGTGTCGTACCATCTGATGCCTGCCGGGTTCGACTGATACCATATCCAGATTTCTCCATTCCGCCGTCTTCTGTCTCCCCTACTCCCGGGTACCCTGGGCCTTTATAGACCGACTACTTAGTCTCTAGCACATCAACCGTGCTGCTTCTCACACAGGATTCTCCCGGTCATATTTCCGTCTGCAGGGTCCTTTACTGTCCTGTGACCAGCCCACTCGCAAGGCACCCTCCATCCCGGCCGGACTCAGCCCCAACCCCTTTCCTCTGCAGCTCAAAGGCCAAGCCTTCTACCCAGTCCTTCTTGATCCCTGGGACATACTTTTCCTCCACTTCATTGACACCTTCGCGATTTTTTTTATTTCTTTGGTACATTTTAGATATAAATAATGCTAACATTCATCGTAGAGAATTTGTACCTGTGCGTGATATATCTGGCTTCGTTTTTTCCCCATGCCTCTCCCCTCCCTTCAACCCCTCTTCCCCTCCTTATTTACAGAAGCTGTTTCCATTTTTCCCTCCTATTTCTATCCTCTTCAGTAGCAGCTGTGTATGTGGGTTGGTCTCACCTTGTCTGTAGTGTCTATGGAGCCTCTCGAGTAGTTTAATTATATTCTGTTGACTGGGTTCATTAACACAGGCCTCGTTTAACCGGTGCCCCACATTTCCTGGTCATGGGGATTTCCGTACCTCTGGTCTACCACCAGGAAGCTAAGGATTTTTGTCCTTCGGCTGTGGGAATTGATACTGTTCTCTTCAAGAGTGAGCAGGGAGTATATGGCTGCACACACTGGCAGGACCTTGTTGTCAAGGACACTGCCAGTCTGAGGGAGAAAGGAGCAAGGACAGAAGGCAGTCAAGAGCCCCGGAACACACAGCTGTGGCCTTGATCAAGTCGTGCCCAAACCTGTAATGCAAGCTCATTTAAGGTGGTTTTTTTCAGTTACACCAACTAAAAACATATGTAACATTTTCAGTTAATGAGAAAGCAACATTCACAGGAAGCTATTTTAAAACACTTTAATTATTTTCTTCTTCTACCCATTCAAACTCACCTAAAGGGCTACTTCTACCCTGTCTCCGGATGGAATCTCAGTGGGATGAAAGTGGGAGGGCAGAGGCCCTGTGACTGCTTTTGCTGACAATAAAATGTCTTCCAGTCACTTCTGATTACAAAATAGTTTCAGCAGTTTTAAAAGCCCATTTCTGAGTAATAGTCAAACTTCAAATTTACTCTACATTAACCCCCTGCAACTCCAACCACAGGAAGCAGGGGGCTTGCTGCCCTGGGCTCAAAAGTCCTGGGTGAGTGTTTCAGCCCTGCCCATTAGAACTGGAGAAGTAACTGCCTATTCATTCATTCATTTTTATTTATTTCCATTAGTACATATTTGCCATACATAGTGATCACATTCATCATAGGGAATTTGTACCTCTACATAATACATCTCAATTCTTTTTTTTCCCATTCCCCTCCCCTCCCTTCAACCCTTCTTCCCCTCTCCATTCACAAAAGTTTTGTTTCCATTTTTTTTCTTCCATTCTCCTCTTTTAATTCTTTTTCCTTTCCTTCCCTTTCATCTCCTGGCTCCCTTGTCCCTCTTCCCATTTGAACATGTTCTTCCTACTTCCCAATATGTATACTCCATTTTGCTCATTTACCCGTTGGATTTCTCATACAAGAGGAACAATGTGATATTTAAAGTTGTGTGTCTGATTGACTGCACTTAAAATTATGGTCTCGAGGTGCATCCATTTACCTAAAAATGACTCATTTATCCTTCTTTATGGCAGAGTAGCACTCCTTTGTGTATAAATACTACATTTTCTTTATCCACTCATCTGTTGATGGGCATATAGGTTTTTCCAAGATTTAGCTATTATAAATTGTGCTGCTATAAATGTAGGTATGCATATATCACTCTAGTGCGATGCTTTTAACTCTTTTGGGAAGATACCTAGAAGGGGCACAGCTGGGTCAAATGGAACCTCTAGTTTTAGTTTTTTGAGGAAACTCCATACTGATTCCTGTGGTGATAATACCAATTTAGACTTCCACCAACAATCCAGAAGTGCTCCTTTTTTCCCACAGCATTGCTGTTGGCTGATTTACTGATGATAGCCATTCTTTCTGGAGGGATATGAAATCTCAGTGTTGTTTTAATTTGCATTTCTCGAACGACCAGTGATGTTGAACATTTTTTTCATATATTTATTTGCTTTTTTTACTTCATCTGAGAAGTGTCTATTCATTTCAGATGTCCAGTTTTGGATTGGTGACCACTTATTTATTGTCTTGAGGACTCCACAGAAGTTGAGACAACAAGGCAGGAAAGTCTTCTGTTACTCCCTAACCTGAGTATTACCTTACCCCCACAGAATTCTCCTGGCCCTATACTGAGTTATTCATCAAAGCACTAGTAGCACATCAATGTACTTAATGCATTGCATCAATCCCTCTACTGAGCTATCAATATTGAAAGTCAAGGGCTGAGACAAGTGAACACAACTGGGGATTCATGAATCTAATCCAACTACTTGGGGATGGGATCACTTACAATCTAGGTCAGGCTTCCATACGGGGGGACTTCCAAGGAGCAATGATCCTGATCTTTCCTTCATTTTCTTTGCCCTCCCATAGGACTGAGCTATCTGGGTAGTCTGGAAGAGTCACACAGAGCTGTCTGAAGAGTTAGTCAGCAGCAGCAGGATTATGTAACTGGTGATAATGAATCGCCTAACATATCAGTAGGTTCCGTTTTCATATTCCCAGGCAATATTTCAAAAATTCCTAATCTGATAAAGAAAACGGGAGCCTAGGAGCTTAGATCAGCCCCCACTTCTCTCTCTCCCTCTCTCCCTCCCTCTCTCTCTCTCTCTCTCTCTCTCCCCCCTCTCTCTCCAAGGAATATCTACTTTGCTCTGTGGGCTGGAGGATAAACTGTCTTGCTGGGGTGAAAGGCTGGATTGGGGAAGGGTTAGTTCAGTACGGGGTCTACTAGCAACCCAATTTGGTTGTACACTGAAGCCAGAACTTTTATTGTTACAACACTGATATTTTGATCCTAATCTACCCGGAATCTGTGTGGCTCAAATGTTTCTTCATTCAGGTGAGAAGGCAGTGTCTTATTTTGAAGCTCACATAAACACCATCACAATCCACAGACATGACTTTCTTTCTCCCCCCCGCCATGGCACACATAGTTTAAAAATCTTTCCAAATCTGTTTACAGCTTTTAAAAATTAAGAAGATTCTTAACCAAAGTTCCATATTTCCAGCTTCTTATAATTTCAATAATTAGCTAAGACTGGGGCTATATTTTCATACTAATAGTTTCTGCGATTGAATAACCACTACTCTCTTTAGATAAAGAATGTACTTTCTAGTTTGAACTCAGCCAGAATTGCTGGATTTAGCAAATATTAATGCAAGACAGTGATTTTATTACTATTAGTAGTGGCAGTACAGTATGTCCAGTACAATTCATGCAGTTGAGCTACAGAACCCTATATTCTAGGGGTCCCCAATTCCTGGGCCATGGACCAGTACACTGGTCAATGGTCTGTTAAGAACCAAGCCACATAGCAGGAAGTAAGTGGCAGGCTAGGAAGCAAAGCTTCATGTGTATTTACAGCTGTTCCCCTCTACTCATATTACTGCCTGAGCTCCGCCTCCTGTGAGTTCAGTGGCAACATTAGATTCTTATGGGAGTATGAATGCTACTGTGAACTGCACCCAAGAGGGATGTAGGCTGCATGCTCCTTATGAGAACCTAATGGCTGATGCTCTGAGGTGGAGCTGAGGCAGTGAGGCTAGCATTGAGGGGCAGTTACAAATACAGATTAACACTACAGAGAGGCTGAAGGCACAGAGACCATAACTAATCAGTTGGTTTTAGACTCGGATCGAAACCCCATCAGTGAGTGGCAAGTAACAACTAAGCTGCATCTGGGAAAGGCTTTATTGTGGCAAGTGAGTTGATGTACGTCAACTGTACAGCTGCATCTGGTGGTGGGCTTTAAGTCAGAATCCAACCCTTATTTTAGTATAATTATTTCATTATATTTTACAATTTAATAATGATAGAAATAAAGTGTACAATAAATGTAACGTGCTCAAATCATCCCAAAACCATCCTTCTCTCCCTGGGGTCCATGGAACAAATGGTCTTCCATGAAACACATTCCTGGTACCAAAAATGTTGGAGACTATTGCTGTATCTTCAGCCCTTTCCTAGGCATTTTTATTATGCACTTGGGCATAACAGAAGAGTTCTCCACCCTTTTATTTATGTTTATCTATCTCTTACATGTCTGATGCCTAATATACTGCTGCCCGATTTGTGGAATGAATATATTGATAAATCCCAAGGGCTAAAATTATATTTCATAGAGAATGTCATTAGGTACACAAGATGAATGAAAAGCAGCAATCTCTTACTGAGCACAGTTCAAGAGGAGTGTCATTTATGGTTATTTGAGGGGCCACCCTGAACTGAAATTCTAGCTTAGGAGCTTAGATGAGTACACAGTATGCCACTTTTTTATGAGTTTATAATACCGTGGGGCACACGCCTGTAGTTCCAGCACTTGGGGAGCTGAGGCAGGAGGATCACTCGTGTTCAGGAGTCCAAGACCAGCCTGGATAATATTATTGTGAAACCCAATCTCAAAACAAAAAGATGCCATAAACTGACGTGTACCATGATTTGATAACAGCTTCTTAGGAAAAAAAATACATATAATCACATCTCATAACATTTCAAAAAACTAAAAAGGCTATTTTTTAAGTTGGTTTGAGAGATCCTTCAAAACTTTTTATTTTGATTCTATTTGTACCAAATACAATTGTGATGAACAATTGGGATTCCTATACCACAGTAAGAGTAATCAGTGGAAAGGAATAGTATCAATTCAAAAAAATATCCTGAAGTTGGGAGTGTAGCTCAGTGGCAGAGCATTTGTCTAGTATATATGAAGCTTTGGGTTCAACCCCCTGCACCTAAAAAAGAAAAGGCTTTCGTCATCTGGCTTAAATATGTTTCTTTTTCTAGTTTTATTCTTTTTATTACCTTTTAAAGAGCAATATTTAATAAGTATGTCTTATAATGGAAAAACTTGGTTACATATGGTAAATTTAAGGAATTGCCAATTAATTCTTTAGGAACATTAGGAGATTAGCCCATAGTGAATCAACATTTATCGAGCATTTAACAGATGCCAGGCCTTGTGCTAAGAACATTCGTTTAGGGCAGAGTTTCTCATCCTCAGCTGCGTTGGCTTTTGGGTGCTGTAGTGTTTGGCAGCATCTTTGATCGATCCACCAGGTGCCAGGAGCACACATACTTCTGGTTGAGATAACCAAACACTGCCAAATGTCCCCTTGGTGTGGGAGTACAGAATTGTCACTGCTTAAGAACCACTGATTTAAATTATCAAATTAAATCGCATAGTTCACAACAACCCAGCCCGTAAAGTCTCTGCAATCGCCAGGGTACTAGTGTCATGCCATGGGCTACGCAGACCCAGAAAACACACCTCGGTACACAGTTTTCCACTTTGCCTCCACAGTAATAGGCAGTGCAGCCTGTATCCACATGTCTTACTAACTCAATCATCAAACAGCTTCTTCTATTCTTTCCTGTGGCTCCTCTCTCTATTGGGCTCTGAATTCTTTGGCCTGGGGAAGCCACAATACCATAGTGGAGGCCTTTGATCTTCATCTCTTCTCCTTCCTCTGGTAAGACAGTGACTACGAAATATTAGGATGGTCAGAAGACAGAGGGATAAAGATCCAACTCTTGTTGAACACTATCTTGCAGTGTATTTCCTCTGTGGGACTGAATTTATTTTATGGAGATGAGTGGAGGTTTCCAGGCTACTATTCAAGGCTTTTCTCTTCCCAGTTACTTATTCCTCTTGACTCCAAAATGCATTAATATATTAACAAACATAGTTGAGTCCTCTA